CCCCCCCCCCCCCACTTGCGATCAAACAATTATTGTGCACTATTTTCTCGACATGGTCATGGATCATCACAAAACATAAACGAATGGCATGAAAATAACAACACTGAAGCTTGAATACTTTGGGAGATTCAAGCAAGTACATACACATAGTTTTTGTGTCCCAAATTAGAACACGAATTCCTGCTATTATCCATGCAACCATGTCCCCATCCCACTCCCTAAACTTTTCCACGGCTGGGCCCCATTACCGACAAATAACTCATTAATCAGGATTTTGAAAATGCCAAATATGTTTTGACAGGAGAGAATAATCCAAATTAACACACAAAACAAAGGGATGGATATATCATATATAACATATACCATATATACATCCTTTTCTTCTTTTTCTTCTTTCTCATCACTCATTACTTAAGGGATGACGAGGCAAACAGCACAGCGTGAGCGTATAATCTTTTGTACACTACACATGATAATACTGTAATACTTAGGTAGCTAGCACACGGGGTTTGATTGGAAACATGGATCATGGAGTGACGGTTGTTGATGGAAATGATTGACATTGGAGAGAGGAAATGAAAATAATTGAGGGACATAAAATTAATACCGAGGGTAGCGACTAGAAGAATCTAGCAGAAGAGGAACGAAGATCCATCTCCTGGGTCCAAGCGTTTCGGTCCTGAACATGCAAGTGCCAGAAGGTTTGTGCGAGTGCATCGGGGTCCATGGTACCCTCACCTCCTCCTACTACTCCACTGCTTTGCTCCCCCACGGAATTACCCCTCTGCAACGACGTCGTGGGCGTTGCTCCTCTGCCCCACAACATGCAAATTATCCTTTTAAGCTTTAAGTAATGGTGGTTGAAACATGAAACATTGATAAATGGAATAATAAATTAGTGCGGTGTTTGAGTGAAGGGAAGGAACCTGGGTGGGGCAACAAGAGCGTGAATGATGACATGGGCTACGTGCACTCCCTGGGGATGAAATTCCTTGGCCAAGCATTGCGAGAGGGCTCTCAAAGCGAATTTCCCACAGCCTGTGTCATGTGATGGATGGCCCCCATTACTAAAATAAGAAAATGAAAAAGCAAATAAGGAAGAGTGGTGGTATATTTATTTAGTAGATACAGAGTTCAGAGTAGCCAGCAATGCCGTCGAGGGAAGCGGAGCAGCCGGTGAAGAGAATGGTCCCCTTTCCCCTTTCGACCATGCCGGGGAGCACCTGCTGGGCGCAGTGGAAGGCGCCGACGGAGGAGACGGCGAGGGACTTGTGGAAGGAATCCACGCGGAGGTCTTGGAAGGAGGTGGGGTTCCATGGTAGTGGCTGGTATGCATTGTAGACGAGAACTTCCACGAATCCCAGAGAGAGCACTCCCTCGAATGCCTCCCGCACGCTCCTCGAGTCAGAGCAGTCTATTCGGATGGCGAACACCTGCGCCTTCTCTTCCCGAGCTATTTCGTCCGCAAATCGAGACAACCTCCCTGAATCATCATCCATCATCCATCATCTTAATACAGATACAGTATCTAATTAAGAGAGAATTAATTAAATTAAATAGAATAGATAGCATAGGCATAGCATACCCAAGTCACGAGCGAGGATGGCGACGGTGTAGCCCTCGTGAGCGAACTTGCGAGCGATGGAAAGGCCCAGGTTAGGGCCCACGCCCACGATGGCCGCAATGCCTCGTGGGGAAGGGGAACTTGGCATGCTTCGCATCTCGCTCTAAGTAGTAAGGAAGAATAGAATGTTGAAGACTTTAGACTTTAGACTTTAGAGAGATATTTAAGAGGTAGCTATATAGGGGCTGAGATGTCCTCTCCTGCTTCTTCCCTTGTCTGAATCATTACCACAACCATTTCCTTCCCTCTCCCCTCCCCTTCCCTTCCACCCTTTCTCTTAATATCAACAATCTAAACTACTACTCTACTTTTTTAATGCAACCACTAATTTTATTTAAATTATTTTTTAAAAAAATATTATAATTAATGCATGCGCGACACGTTTAAGACGTTGGCCAAGACACGAATAATTATAACTGAATCGGGACTCGGTGATTATTTCACTAATTCCCCACCACTCGTCTTTCCAATTCGGTCGCAGGAACATCGCAGCTGTGGTGTTCACTCGCGGACACTTCAATTATCATTCATGTTCCGGAAACCCAACACATTGCTACTTCACTCAAAGTGTTGTTGCGTGTCGGTTCACGCCCTCGCTTCCTAGCTGGATTTGTGGCCACAACCACGTACCTATCAAATTCCCACTCTAGGAAGTAGGAACCACACAACATATGTATATATACTGTACTATATTTAAGTGCTGCAACTTGCGTTCGACAAACAACGGATGCTATCATAGGACACTCTTTCTTTA